ACTTGAAAGGCTTATTATTTTAATGGAAATTCTCAGTGTCGTTTATAAGCCACCTAGCCCGGAGTGGTGATAAAAAGGAGCTAGTGGTTTTACAGATTAAAGAAGCAAAGAGCTTTTTCGGAACTGATCATTGATCCTGGCAGGATGGTGGGAGCGTGGGTAAAGGCAACATGTACAAAAACCATTCATTTCCTTTTTTTCACTCGAGTGAATAGGGTTGTCTCGAGAAAAGCAAAGCAGAATTGAGAGATCAGCCGTAAATCAGAACTAGATTACCCAGGTTTATGACAGCCTCCTGTGTGTCATAGTGGCATAGAAAAAATTTCACAAGCATCAGATTTATCAGAGTAGTAAAAGGACAGGTATTATCAAGCACATTACCAAATTTATAAGCATCAGATTTATCAGAGTAATTAAATGACAGGTATTATTGTTAAAAAAAAAAAGAAAAAAAGACATGCCCACAAATGACCGAGTGGTAATATGACAAAATATTCTCTTCATATGAAAACCATCAATTTCAACAAAATTATCTGCTTATGATCTGCCTATATGTTAAGAAGATCTGTCACTATTTGATTATAAATTTGAAGATTTTTATCTTGAATGTCTCCCAGTTATTACAAGAGCCCAGTCATCAATGTTTACCGGATGCATGAAAATTTTAATTGGCCCTTTATCGGCTTGATTTGAAAAACCTTCTGCAAATATATTCCTTTGGCCTAGCAATGTTATATCTCATTTTAACATCTAAATATGGATCCTTATAATAGTGCTTTAAGCAGTTCACTCCTAATTTTTACAGATTTGGGGGATTTTCTGATTGTGGTAAAAAAACGCATAACATGAAATTCACCAGATTAGCTATATGTTAGTGTACAATTCTGTGGCCTCAGATGCATCCATGTTATTGTGCCATTATTACTGCCGTTCATCTTTAGACCTTTTTCATCTTTGTAAACTGAATCTGTGTCCCTTGAACAGTAGCTTCTTATTCTCTGCCTCACCCCAGACCCACACAGCCCCCCTCTACTTTCTGCCTCTATGCTAGTAACCACTCCAGGTACCTCATCTAGGTGTAACCAGGCAGTATTTGTCCTTTGGTGTCTGTTTTATTCCACTTAGCATATTGTCTTTAATGTGAGTTCCAAACAACCAGGTTCACACATGGTAGTCAACAAATCATGTACCTCATGAAGCAGACGAAAGGAACATCCAATGCGCCTTTGGCTTTCTAGGGATAGCTCTTCCTAAAGCTTTAGAACTCCAGAAATCAGACTTCAAAGGAATTACACAAAGGTTAAATTCTTGATTGTTTTTAACTGTTTGGTTTTTCAAAATCTGTCTGATTTCTGTCCCCATAATGAAAGAAGCCAGTGTTGCCTTGCCTCTCTGTGTGTTCTTGTCTTACCAATACCGGCATTGCAAGAGAGCTTTTTCACCCACACACCTCCTGTTTTTCCTTCTCTCTTCTTTTCTTAAGGTTTTTGCCACAGAGAGCATACACTCACTGGAGAGAAGAGAGACAGTGAGACGGAAAGTGACAAATCACCCCCTAGGGAGGATGACCATGCCACAGTCCCTTCTCCTCCATTCTCCAGGGATTTGGGACATACATGCACACACATCCAGGATTCGAACTGCTGCTAGCCATGTAGGAGTCTAGTGCCTTAACCACCATGCCACCTGCTGGCCCTGCCCTTCTTTTCTGTTTTTCTTTTTTCTTCTCTTCTCTTGTATTTTCTCCCTTTCTTTCTTCTTTCTCTCTCTCTTTCTTTTTCTTGCTTCTTTCTGCCTTGTGTGGAAAGGATGGGCCTCTTTTGCTTCTGACTCAAGTAGTTGCAGGATCCACCCTGAGATCACCCATGCTGGGAACAGCTTAATCTCAAATGTTCTTTCTGTTTCCGGTCCTATTGGCAGAGGATAAAAAGGAGGAAGACAAGTATGGTCCAGGCGAATATAGTGCATTAAACTAAACACAAGACCAACCCCTGCTGATGTTGACTTGTTTCCTGTTCTTGAGTAGATTAAGGATCACTGGGCGCACATGCGTCTTGGACCGCAATCCTCCAGGCATGGGGTATCGTCTCCCACTTCTGGCATGTAATGCCCTCAGAGTTCTCTCCAATTTGGGCGGGCACAGGCCAAGATAACCAAGCCAGCAGTGCCAGCTACTGGTTCTTCTCCCACATCTTCTAGACTGGCATGCAAGACACCATAAAACAAAGATTAGCAGTGCCTTCCCAGGTGGCTGCTTCTCTGTTGATGAGCATATCATGTGGCAAAATGACAGAAAACTCCCATCGGTAGCTCACTTCCTGTTGATTAGATCTGAAGATCTAATCTGATTAGATCTCAGTTCTTGTTTCTACCCACTGGTTTTCTGTCATTCTTTTAGGCCCTTCTGGCCCTTAGTTTTCCCCATGGATAGTGTCACAGTATTGATATAGAATTGCCTTTTAAGAATATAGAATGAAGAACAATTTGAGGCTAAAGTTCTAAAACTATAACAGGTAATTAATACTCATTGAGTTCAGGTGCATTTGGTTTAAGTGAGCGTGCCAAGAGGGATTGCTTTAGAAGATCATTGTAACTTTATGAATTACTAAGTACTACATAGTCCCCCATTTCACTCAATATGTGAGGATTTTTTGTTTGTTTGTTTTTAAGATATTTGTCATAGGGTGCATGTGCTTACCAGAGAGAGGGAAAGTGAGAAATCACCCCCCAGGAGATGACCACACTGCAATCCCTTCTCCATTTTTCTCTTGGAATTTTGGGCGTGCACCCACATGTACCCAGCTTGATTTTATTTATTTATTTGTTTGTTTGTTTGTTTGAGAGATTTTTGCTGTAGGGCATGTGCGCTCACCAGAACAGAGAGACAGAAAACTATTGTTCAGGTGTTCCCGCTCCTGCTGATATTGATGCTCTTTTCTTTGGGCCGAGGTTGTTCGTTTGTTTGTTTGTTTGTTTAATGACTTTATAATCACTATATAATCAGTGTTCTTCTTTCTATAGGGTATTTTTCCAGAAACGTATATCCATCTGAAAGAGGCAACTGTGGAAGACCTAGGGTAAGTTCCAATCTAGGAAGAGTCCTAAAAAATGATGAGGCTATAAGATGATCTTTGGAGAATGCCTTATTATGTGTTAGTATTTCTCTTATTATCTCATCAGTCCCACTTCTTTTTTTGGGGGACATTTATTTTTGTTTTGCTTTTGGGTGCGTGTGTTTGCCAGGAAGACAGAGAGAGACAGAGAGACAGAAAGTGAGAAATCACCCCCCAGGGGGATAGCCACACCACAATCCCTTCTCCTCCATTCTCCTCTCGGGATCTTGGGCACACACGCACACGCGCCCGGTGTGAGTTTAATCCACCGGGTCCGGGACTCGAACCACATTTGACTACATAGGAGTCCAGCGACATAGCCATTACGCTAACTGCTGGTCCCCCCACTTCTCATATGAGAGGAAACTGAATAACAATCTTCCCTGATACAATTTTTTCTCCTCTCTTTACTTTTCTGTAATGGTTTTTTCCTAGCTTCCTTCCCCATAGTAAAGACAAGTCATGAATGGAGGGCCTGGCCCACTCTGTATTTCCTACTGACACTTTGGTTGTGTGTGTGTGTGATTATGTGTGGCACACTTGAACATTTGAGTCTCCGAGGCTGATAAGACCTAAAAAGTCCCCCAGTTTGGGTCTTTGAGAGGTAGATGAGTGAATGACAGTCTGAGAGCTAAAGAGGCCATAAGGAAAGCCCGGAGTAGGGTTGGAATCCCAGGGCTGATAGAAGGGAGTGCAAGGCTGAGGGAAACATAGACAGCTGGGTCAGAGACCTCACAGCCCCAAAGAAAGGAAGAACTTTCTCTGTTGCAAGAGTAACACCACTGGTATATAGATGAGAGGTGGGAATGTGCTACATTCACGCAGCTCTTCCGTCACAGAGCCAGCACCAAAACCCACTGGAGGGCTCTTCTGGGGCGGGCTCGGCTGTCCCCCACCACGTTGGTGGAAAGGCAGGTAGGAAACATATTCCCGCTAATTACGGGTACCAGATAAAATGCAGAATTCCCAGTTACATTCTCACTCAGATAACCACAGATAATATTGTATAGTATGTTTCAGATACTTCATGAGTCATATTAGAAAAAATCATAATCCATCTTCAATTCAAACTTACCTGGGCATCCTGGGTTTTTATTTGGTAAGTCTGGCAGTCTTACCACCAGTCTCCAGTGTTTTGCTTACTCTTACTCTCCTTTTCTCCTTTCTCTAATCATAAAAAAATGCTGGGGAGGATTTATGTGAGTAAATGTGATGCGTACCTTTTTATAAGTCTGTTGTAGTAGGTAAGCCAGAATGTTGGTGCATATGTATTTTCTACACTGAGAAGCAGCAGATGAGACAAAACCCAGTGTCGTTCTTGGTCCCCACCAGCAGGTCCTCGTTGAGACCACAAGGTCCAGGACCCTTGTGTCATGCCCATCTCTTCACCCACCCTCCTGAATGAAGCAGCTGTTTGGTAGAACCAACTACAGTACCGGATTTTTGCTTCTATATGAGACGCACTGAAGCTAGCCTGGCTCGGTAATCCAGGCACCTAATGGGAAGATAGAGTCTAGGTTGCAGGTCCATCTCCTTGAAGACACCAAATTCATTTTGAGGACTGTGCTGGTCTAAGTTCTATCTCTTATCTCATGCTTAGATGTGATAAAGTCCCCTGTACAGACCTTCCCCTCCTCCATGGACAAGTTTTGCTTTGTTACAAGCCCAGGCAGCTCATTCTTATCAAGCCTTGCAGGCAGCACTGGTCAACCTGGAGTAAAGTGAGCGTGCATTTGGTTCTCCATAGGCAGCATGAGACAGTGATTCCTGGTGAACTGCCACTGGTGCAGGAGCTCACATCGACTCTGCGAGAATGGGCTGTCATCTGGCGCAAGCTCTACGTGGTGAGTTTTCCCCAGGGCCTTGGAGCCAATGGTGTTGATCCTGGGCCCTCTGCCTGGGTGTCAGCTCCTTATTAGCTGTCTGCATGGAATGGGATGCATCTTCCTTAGACCACAATGACTGATAACCAATAAACTCGCATTTCTCCAGAGTTGAGTCATTGACATGGGGTAGTGGAAGAAGTGAGCATAATCATTAGGTCAGCTTTTCTTCAATTGGTAAACATGCTGGTTGTGAAAATAATATAATGATAAAAGTACTTACAGACGTATACATAGTCCTTCCTAAGTGCCAGAAGCTAAGAATCCTCACGATGCTCCTGCAAAGTAGGTGCAGTTCTTAGGGTCAGCATGTGTGTGGAAAGCTGAGGGACATGCTCTGAGCCTCTCCATGCATACCAGTGAATGCATATCTGAATGGTTCAGTGCTCAGCCAGATGAGGGTGGCTTTCTTTTTCTTTTCTTTTTCCTTTGTTCGTTTTTGCTATCGGGTACATACATTTGCCAGCGAGAGACAGAGACAGAGTGAGAAAAGGAAAGTGAGAAATCACCCCTCAGAGGGAATGGCCATGCCACAATCCCTTCTCCTTCATTCTTCTATTGGGAAGAATACACACACCCGATATCATTTTCAAGCCACCGTGTCCAAGGCTTGAACTGCAGTTGGCCTTGTGCAAGTCCAGCACCTTAACTTCCATGCCACTTGCTGGTCACATAGGTGGCATTCTTTATCTTGGCCAATATACATACCTTATAGACTCAGAAACTTGAGTTGTGTTAAGCTATGGTCTGAGAGCCTCCCTTTTGGAGCAGACCCGGTATTCTTTCTCACAATATCACTTTGACCTCAGACTCCTGATACCGTGTGCTGGTTCAGGGGAAAAGTGAAAAGGAGCCAGCACATCATCTAAATGATAAACCATAAGCACAAGTCTTGTGTAGGCTTGTAGTCAGGACTGAGTAAGTCTAGCATTTAATATTACCACACTTGAGGACAGCTATCTCGCAGCAGGGCAAAGGTGCTGAAAGTCCATCAGCAGTAAGCCAGAGCTTAGGAAGCTTTTTCTTTGACATTGGAATCCATGGAGACTCTTTTCCAAAGTTGCTTCTTTCCTGGAGACCTTGCAGGTGAGCAGCACTGGGTCTTGCCTCTGTTAGTGGCTTCCAGGCTGCCTTGGTGACCAGGAATTCCTGTGACAAACGTATACCCTCTCAATAGATGTGTGAACGAGTACAGTGAGGTGGCACACTATACTTGATGGCCTGGGAGCCATTCTCTTCCCTATACGTGGATCTGTTTATCAAGGTTTTTGATTAGTTATACATTGAGTCTTCATTCTAATTCTCAGCAGCCAATCTTGGTAAGTCATTGGGAAGACCTTACACTAGATTCTAAGATCTAATCAAAAACTCATTCTAGTGTAACTTCTAAGAGTTTGTCCAAGATGTTTCATTTTCATTCAGGGCTATCATGAGGAATTATAGTAGTAGAAATCATTAACTCCTTTGGTGAAAATCATTAACTCCTTTGATACGTGATAGTCCTCTGCCTACCCATTTTTCTTTAAGTATTATCTTCTGAATACACCAGTCCATAACATCTTCTGTAGACTGTAGGAGCACTTACCTCTGAATCTATCATTGGACCCTTGGGGCACACTGCTTTGTAATGAAGGTGACCTTTTGATCTCTTCATATTTAGTTGAGGAGAGAGCTAACTTTAAGTTCCTAAATCATAAGCTCTGGAGGAGGAGGATGTTGCTATCAGCTCTATGGCCTACATCGATCATCCTGCACTTATATTGAAAGCATTCTCCAGTTCTGGTTAATTGATTGATTAGTGGTGGATATAGCAAGGCTGATGGATGAGAAACTGCATGTATTGGATCTTGAGAAAGTCATGATGCATTTTTGCATAGAAAAACATAGAAAAATATGTCATGACTTTCCTGACAACCTAATACATAGGATCATTCCAAAATATTTCCTTCTTGAAATTGGTTCATGGTGAAATATACTAGATAATAAGCATTGGGAAAGGAGACTTTTTAAGATATAACATGTAAGGGGGGGGGAATATTGCATCAGCAGGTGGCGTAGAGGTTAAGGCTGCTGGATTACACATAGTCAGCTCCACAGTTTTAGTCCCAGAACTGGCAACTTGAAAATCATGCCAGGCGGAAATGCATACATGCCCAAAATCATAAGAGGAGAATGGAGGAGAAAGAATTGCAATGTGGCCATCCCCCTGGGGTTGATTTCTCATTTTCTCTGACTCTCTGTCCCTTTCTGGCAAACTCTTACCCCTATAGCAAAAACTACAAAACTGAAAAGAAAAAAAACAGAGTGGCGAGAATGGATGAGGTAGCTTCTTTTTCTTGCTAAAACACAGCTGTTATACTCAGGTTATTCTCTGTCATTTACACATCCCAGTAACCACACCAGGTTTACTAGTGAATAGAACTGAGAAATTCATGAATGGAACATGCAGAATTACAGCTCAGTGTATTTGTGCTGCCAAAATCCCTTAGCAGTTAAGTTGTGATAAGTTTCTCTTAAGGCATTTCACTGTGGGTTAGTTCACTATTTGATATCAGAATTGAATTTTAAATGGCAACAAAAGCCATCTAGTCTCAGAGTGTAGCCCATTTCTCTTCTTAATTTAGATGTCTAATAAAATGATTATTTTGTTATTTGAGAATATTTTTAAGTGTCCTGTAGCAACTGTTGGTTATGAGTCATTCATTATGGGGAATTTTTTTTAATAGATTTTGCTCTAGGGCATGTGCGCTTGCCAGAGAGCCAGCCACAGAAAGCGAAAAATCCCTCCCCCCCCCTTCCCGGGAGATGGCTACACCTCAATCCTCCAGTTTCTTCTCCTTCATTCTCTCGGGATTTGGGGCAAGCATGCACACACACCCCAAAAACCACAGAAATACTTACACCCCCTGTGTAAGTTTTAGGCCGCCACATCCAGGACTTGAAATGAGGTCAACTATGTGGGAGTCCAGTGACATAACCATTATGCCATCTGCTGGTCCTATATGGGAATTCTTAATTAGTCCATAGGGCTAAGCAATGTCTCTGCTTTTGATACATGCTTATCCATTAAGGTAGAATCCACTCGAAATGGGTTTGATCATCTGAATGACTTTTTTTTTTTAATCTCTTCCTAAAACATTAACAGTTCATATCAGGCAGAGATTTTTTTTTTAACTTCTTCCTCAAACGTTTGTGTGTCAAAGTAGCAAACCTCAAACATTGTTCCACTGGAAAAAAGTAGAAGGAACCTGGCCTAACCATGGTGGTGCAGTCGGTGGCACCATAACACAACACCGGAGCCACAGGGTACGTGTGCTTGTGGTCCCAGTAGACTGGGAGATGGGGGTGAGACCCTGCCCAGGGTTCCTGTCTATTTACCTCTCTCTTTTTTCCTCACAGAAAGAAAGAAATTAACTTTAAAAACAATTGAAAAATAGGAGGAACACAAATCTCTAGTTCATATTCAGAAAAAAGAAGAAAAATCCAGTAATAGTTACTGTTGCTATGTGTAAGTTCTTTTAGTCTATGTAAAAGTAAATGCAGGTTTAACTAGTATACTTCAATACCTGTGTTAATTCTCTTGTGAATTTCTTCCACATGTTGTGAGACTAAGCATCTGGTTTGATGTCTTTGAAGACACCTGTGAGGTTTTGAAAACCCCGTGTTTCTCTGAAATACATTTCCTGGTTCTATTCTTTTCCTTCTAAGTTCACCAGAAATTTGTATCATGGGTCCAGAGTCTTATTTGAGGGGAAACTGCCATCCACTCACTAGATTTGGCCTGGTGATTATTCTAGAAAGGGAAGACATTTGTCTAGCTGTGATTTGTTTTTAGCAGTCATACAGTAGTTATGTGAAGTAATCATAATTATGTCTTCAAAGGAGAAGGGTGACCTCCATGTACAAAGTAAAACAAAGAGGTGGCAAGCCCCTCCCAGCCCCGTGTCCCTCTTTTCTTCTCTGTTAGATTAGCATTATTGTTCTCTGTTGGACTATCTTTCCTGGTGGGCATTGGCCTTATGCTCTGGGAAGGAAGCAGGCTGTAGGAGATAGATGATGGCGTAGAAATGAGGATGCTGGGTTTCTTAGGTAGGGCCTGTCCTGACTGGTTTTGAGCAAGTCACTTGACATCTCCAAGCCTCTGCTGGATTTTGCCTGTCTGTGAAAGGGATGCAAAAGCTGCCTTGTGGGCCAGCCAGTGGTGTGGTGGTTCAGGCAGATGGATCCCATGTGGCCAACTGCATGATTGAGTCTCAGGCCCATTGGCTTGAAAAACACACCAGATGCATGTGCCTGTGTGTCCAAAATCCTAAAAGGAGGGAGAAATCGAGGGGGAGGATTTATGACATGACCATCCCATCCCCCAAGAGGTGCTTTCTCTCTCTCTCTCTCTCCCCCCGCCTCAAATGCACACTCTCTCTATAAAAATTTTTAAAAATAACAAAAACTGTGCCATTTTGACCCCCGCAGAGCCGCGAGAGCTCAGAAAGCAATAATAGCTGTCATACACTCCACAGACGCACCTTCAAGGACTATGCGATTGATGCAGGCTTTTCTGGGACAGTAGCCACTCTGGATGTACTCCATCTGGGCATCCGTGGCTTGGCTTCCCCTCACCTGTCTTGCTGCCACTACCAGAGGCTCTGACACTCCCTGCTCTGTCCCTGTTATCCCAAGGCCACTTTCTTTGCCTCATTATCAACTTAGGTGGCATGGCCTTGAGCGCTCAATAGCTGGGCTGTTTCTCACCCTAGATAGCAAGCCTCCTTGGTTAACGTTCAAGGCCAGGATACAGAGTACAAGTTCACAGTGGTTTGGGATGGACTTTGCCTGCGCCGTTCACCCTCAGTTGAAGTTGGTTACTGGGTCTATTTTCAGTGGCTGCAGGAAAGAAGGAAATAGCCACTATCTCTTTCTATGTTCTCACAGCTTTGTGGGGTTAATGAAGCAGCTGTACTTTG